TGCCGGACCCGCAATCTCACGATTGGGGCTCGAGCTTGAACTCGGTTTGGCGCTGTGTCTTTGAGAAAGGCATTTGACACAAGTATCCCATTTGGCTCGGTCCCTCAGATACGGACGTTAAACTCGCCTATTAAATGACCTAATAGTGTTGATTGGGGCGTTGAACCTATACCATTTCACATTTTTGTATGTGCACGTGCATTTATGTGTACGCGTGAATACTAGAACTCTTAACGTACATGTGTTTTTAATGTGTTAGGGTCAGCTGATGCAGAATTTATTTTGCTTTAAATTTGTTTGCTGCACAAGTGGGTCGAGCAAGGCTTTTAAGCTTTCATTGCCTGGCCCTTGTCGATCTCTCTGGTTGGACCACACGACTAAGCGAACTCCTGTATTATACACCACACTAAAACCCGATCTCCCCTACCACTCACCCGTCTCCCCCAATAACACATCCACCCTTTCCAACCCTCTCCCCACCCCAATCACCCGACCCCTCCTCCCATTCCCCAATCCACTCCCCCACCACTCCCATTCGCCAACCCCTCACCCCACTGCCCTGCCCCCACTGCCCTGCCCCCTCACCCCTGTCCCCTCACCTACCCAACTCTTCACCCCAGCGACAACACACCCCACCTCCCCCAATTACCCACAGTGAGCAGTACCGACGCCGCGACAGTCAATACGTCTTTGGCTATGGCACTACCACTGCCGTGCCCACAATGAGCACTAGAGATTTTTAAGTTTTGCTGATGCAAGAACTTGATTTCAATAGATATAATGAAATGCTAAATATAAACACATGGGTTCATTCTTACGGGTTTTATTCATTTGCATGTGCCATAAGTAATAACGGTAGGTTCATTCCAATTGACTACTTTATGCGACGTAATCCTTGCTCATGTTACTAGTGAAAAATCAACGTAATTATATGAAAGCATTTACTTTTTTAAAAGATTTATTGGCCTTATTTCTGAACATTTAGATGTCTTTTCAAAAATCACTGAAGGTAGGTAATTAGGTTTTCTTGACTTACCTGAGCAAGGTCGAGTGGTTGAAGGAAAAAAAAATTATTAGAAGAAAAAAATTGGGAGTTCGCAGGGGAGGGCAAAGTTTTGTAAATACAAAGGTCGTCTGTGCGAGATCAGCTCACTGTCCCTTTCGTTGTGGGGTTGGGAGTGTTCACGGTTTTTGTGCCGTCGGTGGGGAGGGGGTAACGACGACACCAAACTCCAAAAATCAAACCAAAAAGTAGCCCACAATGAATTATTTCTATCTTTATGAACTAAGATTTAGGAATCGCAGGAATGGACTTTTATTCGAAAATTTTCTTCACCACTCAATTCTCGGGCCTGGCAATGATGGGGTTACAAATATTTATTGACAAACCAGGACCTATGTCTCTATGTAAGATCATGTTTATCATCCACATAATAATAGTAAATAATAATTGCATTTATATAGCGCATATCCATACTCAAGAGTATGCTCTATGCGCTTTACAACTATTATTACCCCAGCAGACCCTCTGAGAACACCCAGAAACATTCTCGGCTTCCGCGAAGCATTCAGGAGGCAGGCTACTTTAACCGTCCACTCCGCACTGAATGGGGTACATTTTTTACCAAGCAGATGGAGATACTCAAAAGAAACAGTTGCCCACACGGAAATCGAACTCGTGTTTTCTCCTGGGAATGGCGATCCACATTTTTACCGATGCATTTTCAACAACTTTATAACATTTTTTGACAAATACAGACACCAACAAAGCTTAGGCGGGGGGGGGGGG